GCTCCATCTCTCCCCTGGTCCTCCCGTCTTCCTCTCTCTGTCCTCAATCCCTTCTCTCCTCTGTCCCCCCATCTCTGTCCCTTTATCCCCCTCTGTGCCTCTCTCTCCCTCTTTCACTCGGTCCCTTCCTCCACCCCTCCATTTGTCCCTCTCACTATCCCCTCCCACCCCGTCACTCCATCCCTCCCCAACCTCTCCATCTCCTCTCCTCAATCCTGCCTCTGTCCCTTTATCCCCCTCTGTGCCTCTCTCTCCTTGTGTCACTCCGTCCCTTCCTCCACCCCTCCATTTGTCCCTCTCTTTATCTTCTTCCCTCATGACTGCGTCCCTCCCCCAGTCTCTCCATCTCTCTCTCTATCCCTCCCAAGTCTTTTTATTTCCTTCGGTGCCTTAGTCTCTCTCTGTCACTTTGTTCCTCCCTCTGCCCGTCCATTTGTCCCTCTCTCCATCCTCTCTGCCCTTCTCCCAGGCGTGCCTGGCTTGGGCTCCCCAGCCCTCTCCCCTGGCTGCTAATGAGCAGAGGAGCCTTTGAGGTGGCCAGGGCCGGGGCGGAGGGAACCCTGAGGGGGTGGCGGGGGCAGCTGCTGCCAAGGCCCTAATGAGGCCCCCTCTGCGCCCCTCCCGCCGCGATCTTAATTCCCAGTTCCTCCTGGAGCCACCGCTAATTGGCCTGGGGAGGGCTCCCCTCCTGGCTCCCGCTCTGTTCCTGGGGGTGAGGACACCTGGGTCCCTGGATCCTGATGCAGCACCTGTGGCCTTACCCTTCCGTTCCTCTCCCCACCTGCCTCTAGGGACCCCCCTCTGTGCATCTCTGTCCATCTGTTGCTCCCTCCACCCGTCTCTGGACACCCCATGCGCGCGCCCTTCCACCCACGCCCCTGTTACCGGGTCCCACCACCACCACCTCAGGACCCAGACGTGTCCTCGCCTACCCCCGCAGCCCCTACTCCCACCCGGCTTTTAAGTCCTTTCCCGCTGCAGCCATGTCCAACAACATGGCCAAGATCGCCGAGGCTCGCAAGACGGTGGAACAGTTGAAACTGGAGGTGAACATCGACCGCATGAAGGTGCCGGGTCGGGGTGGGGTCTGCACTGGGGTGTGTTGGGGGCGGGGCCCAGAGCCGCGGTGGGAGGAGCCCCTGTCCCAGATGGACAAGAGGTGGGGCTCGGGCAGGGGGCGGGGCCTGCCGGGGAGGGGCCCACCTGGGGGCGGCCCTGGGGGCGTGGCCTCGGGGGCTGGGCTGGGCGCCAACCTCCGCACCCCCGCGCCTGCAGGTGTCACAGGCGGCGGCAGAACTGCTGGCCTTCTGCGATACGCGCGCCAAAGACGACCCACTAGTGACGCCGGTACCCGCCGCTGAGAATCCCTTCCGCGACAAGCGCCTCTTTTGCGTCCTGCTCTGAACCCTCCTGACAGCTTACCACCCCCCGCTAAAATATGAATCCAATAAATCGGTGACTGTGGTGGTGCTTGTGCTTTCGGAGAAACTGAGGCACGCACAGAGGTTGGGACCAGCGTGGGGGAGCCTGTGTCCCTTCTCGTTCCTTTTGAGTGTGTGTGGAGTGTGGGGGTGTGTGGATGCGAGTGAACACAACTTCATTAAAGCCTCGGAGGAAATGAGCCCTCAGTGCTCTGTCCTCGACTGAGGCTCCACCATCTGATCTTGAACTTATTTAACTGTCCCAACAGCCCCAGAAAGCAGCTGACTACTTGTATGATACCCATTTTACAGATGAAGAAACTGAGCCAAAGGAAGTCCCTTACTCAAAGTCACACAGCTAGGAGGTCATGAGGTGAGGACTGTGGAATCCAGAGCTCCCCAAACCCCTCGGCTGGCCTCCCTCTTCTCCTTCCTCCCGGGTTGGAGAGTCTTAGGGGCCCATCCCACGTTTCTCATCCCCTGGAGGACTCCACCCTCTTTTCCATATCCACTACTCCCTATCACAAGCCCATTCTGTCCTCAAGCACTGAACTTTTCTCTATTCATTCATTTATTCATTCTTCCACACACTCCCTGAGTACCTGCTCTGTGACCAGCCGTGTGCTGAGTGATGCTGGGGACACGGCCATGACAAAGACAGCCTGCCCTCCTGGGACTCAGAGTCCAGTGGGAGACACATTTATCCCCAGATGGTGATGATCTAGAGTGGGAAAGGCTGGGGTCAGGGAGCTCAGTAGGCTGGGGAACTCAGAGAGAGGACCTGACTCAGCTTGGGGATCAGGAAGGACTTCCTGGATGAGGGGACATCTGAACTGGGACATGGTAGTAATAAAACTTGGGGACTCAGAGAAGAGAGAAGCATAGCTAGAAGGGAGAAGGGACAAATTAATGAGTACATTCCTTCATTCAAAAATTTATTTTTGTTTTGGGGACATTAGTGGTGGCTGTGACAGCCCTGGTCCTGCCCTCGGTGTCCCAGTTCACACACTGGGGGCCTGCAGTACAAACATAGCTTGCAGTCATATTTTTTTTGGCTCACTACTTTTGGCCCACATGATGTTTAAAGGTGTTCTTGACTTGATTGCCAAATTGAAAAACAGAGGTATTTCATGTAAAAGTCCATATTTCTGGGTTCTCTGAAATTGTAATATCTGGTCACCCACAGGGTGAGCATGTGCTTTGAGATGGGGCCTGGGCTTTCCAGCTTACCGAAGTCTCCACCATGCATCAGAGACTTCTTAGAGTGGAATGAAAAGTGAAACATTCCGTGTCTCTGTTGAAAATGGGGGAATTTGGGCCGGCCCGTGGCTCACTCGGGAGACTGTGGTGCTGATAACACCAAGGCCACGGGTTCGGATCCCATATAGGGATGGCCGGTTCACTCACTGGCTAAGCGTGGTGCTGACACCACCAAGTCAAGGGTTAAGATCCCCTTACCGGTCATCTTTAAAAAAAAAAAAAGAAAAGAAAAAGAAAATGGGGGAATTAACACCAAGGCCAAGGGTTCGGATTCCCGTACCAGACAGCTGCCCCACTCAGGGCCACTGAGTTTGCGACTGCCTCCCCTCCTCTCACTTCGCACTTCCTCTTCCCTCAAGCCTGATATTCCTGCTTCTCAGCTTGGGCTGATGGTGGCTGGACCCCTGGATCTGGCTGGAGGTGGCTCAGTGGGTCTTCCCTCCCTAGAGGGCCCTGCATGAGTCTGGCAAGTGCTCCATTATTAATATCAGATTAGGGTCCCCTGGGTCCCGATTCTGAGCTTCCTGTAGGATTGAGACAGAATCGGCTGTAATTACATCTCTCTCCTGCCTCCCACCTCTCAGCTGGCTCCTGCCTGGTTGCATCATGTCTGTGGGAGCCCCAGGGGAGACAGGGGACAGGGAGAGAGCCAAGGATGAGCTGAGGGGTGGAGCAGGAGGGTGGAGGGATGCTGGGAGGGAAGGATCCAGAAGATACAGTATCCTTGCAGCTTGGAACCTGACATGCAAAGGAATTGAGGATCCCAGGACCTTTGAGGGCTGCAGTTCCAGAGTCCTTCAACTCTGTGGGGCCAGGATCCTGGGGTCCTTTTCCCTTGTTCAACTAAGATTCTGGAGTTTGACACCTCACAAGCATAAGGATTCCTTGAGACTAGGCTGTTGGGATTTAGACCCTTCCAGCCGTGGAATCTTGGAGCTGTGTAGTGCAAACCCTTCCTCCTTCACATTGCTGGTCTTGGGGGACAGGAACTGTGGAAAAGCAAGTGGGGCTGGCTGGCTGTGACCTGGATTGGCCAAGGGAGGGCAAGTGGGAATGGGACACAGAGGAGACCAGGAGGAGAAGTCTGCCTGGAGGATAAGTGGGAGGGAGGATGGGGGACTGAGACCGGGAGGAAGCAGAAGCCAGAAGGGACAGGAGAGAAGGGACAGGGCAGGTCCCCGGGTGACCAGCCTCCATAAGTGCAGACCCAAATAATCTTATTAACTTTACAACTCAGCAGCAGTACCAGCTTCTAGTCACCAGCTGCTCTTCCTGCCACCCCCAGCTGTGATGTCAGCTCTGGAGCCAGGCCCTGGCTGTGGTCAGAGCCAGGCCAAAAGGTGGAGGGGTGGCCACAGGGAGAAGCGCTTGCTCCTAGCAATCCCCTCCCACTTCTGCCCCAGACCTCCAGAGCTCTTAGCTGGCCCACCCCAGCTGTCTTCTCTGTGAGCACAGAGCAGTGCTTGGCATGGCTGAGACCCTGAGGCAAGGGAAGCCCAGAGCTAGGATGAGCCATAATCTTGGCCATCACTTACTGGGGGTCCTGTTTCACAAGCCCCATCTCACTTAATTCTCATAATAGCCCCCAAAGTGACTGTTTATCCACATTTTACAGACAGACAGGCAGGATTGGGGAGGTGATGTCACCTGACCAGTTGGGGCTTAAGGTTGGAGTGGAAGGATCTGATGGATGACCATTCAAGAGAGGTTCAGGGGATTCCCAGGGGGGCCTTGAAAGATGGGAAGTGAGGGTACCTCCAGGTGAGGGGCACAACCGAGGCAAAGGCAGGGCAGGGAGAAGAATGAGCCGGAGTGAGAAGCAGGTAGGTAGGCTGGAGCCCATTAGGGGTGGAAGTCCGTGGGCTGAGAAAAGTGGCTCCTCGCTGTAGGTGTTGGGACCTGCCAAAGCGGGACAGATCTGGATGAACACATAACAGCTTCTTGAAGCAGCCAGAGGACACGGGCGGACAGGCAGTCCTGGCAGGCATGAGCAGCTGGTGGCGCACGTGTGTGTGGAGCCTCCTCCCAGGGCCAGCACCAGGAGAAACCAGGGAGTCAGGAGAGGGTCAGGCCCAGGCCAAGCAGGGATCTTAGGTCTGCAGCATGTCCAGAAGCAGGCCTGGGCAGGCGGCCAAAGGCACTGGCCAGCGGGTGTGGGACAGGCTCATCGCAGCATCAGTTTCCTGGTCTGCTTGGCATCGCCCTCTTGAGGATACCCAACAGAGGAGATGACTGCACTGAGGGCCCACCTGCCCAGGCCCCTCATGCTGTGAGGAGTGTTACATCCATAATACTCACCCATCAGATTTGCCCTCTGAGCACCTCTGTGCCCCTAGCCATTGGCACACAGTAAACTGTCAGTTAGGGTTTGTTGAATGAATAATAAAGCCAGCAGCTATCTGAGGGCTTCCTGGGAGGCAGGCAGGGTGAATTGTCTCTTATCTGCACATAACACTCCAGCAAGTCAAGGCAGCCATTTGATGAAGAACACCAAGGCTTTGCTAGAAGTTATTTTCCCAGGGTCACACGGCAAGTGATTGGTGAGCAGTGGAGATGAGCCTCAAAACCTATTTTTTCCCCGCTTCACATAACACTCCAGCAAGTCAAGGCAGCCATTTGATGAAGAACACCAAGGCTTTGCTAGAAGTTATTTTCCCAGCGTCACACGGCAAGTGATTGGTGAGCAGTGGAGATGAGCCTCAAAACCTATTTTTTCCCCGCTGCACCAGGCCCCCACTCCATGTACAAACACATGCAGGTAGAGATAGCCATAAAGAAACACGTGAACCCACAATAAACAGACACACATGGATGCACAGATAGACCTAGCTATACCCTTCGAGAAAAACCTTGCCCACAAGGCCACCCATGTAGACACACCCATGCCTGCAAAGACACACATTAGCCCACATTACACACATCCTCACACACACATACACACCCGGCCATATCCATGCCCAGTACACACAGCTGACAATATAGCATTCATAAACACCACTGTGCAACTGCACACACACAGTCCAATGTGCTCACAATACACACACACAACACAGAAACCAGACTGCTGATGAAGACACACCCACAGAACCCACACAGGCCCACCCACCGGTGCGCGCGCGTGCGCGCACACACACACACACACACACACACACAATCACCACGCTGATAAAAATGCTCACTAAGGCCCGGCAGGCCCCACTTATCCCACACAGACTCACACACTAAGTTCCCACAGCCACGACCCTTAGCACACCACCCTCTCCTGGGTTCCCATCTCCCTGCCCTCCCGAGTGCCGCGTGTCCCTGAGTTGGTCCCCATTCTCAGTGGTCTCTGGTCTGTCCTCCCTCTTCTGCCTGCTGCCCCGGGGTCCTCCCTTTCTGGGGAGGCCCAAGGCCTGTTCCTAGTGGTGGGTAGAGAGAGGACAGCTGCTGACTCACCCTCCCAAGGCAGTTCCTTCCCTAGCTCCCCCGGCCCCCAGAAGCCAACCGTCCCACAGCACAGCCCGGTGACCCCTCACCCCAAGGCACCTGGTTGGGAGTGGAACCCCTCGTGGCTCCTGCTGTGGGCGTGGCCTGTGGGCCCTGGCCGGGGCCACAGCCAGGAAGGAGGCTGGGTGTTCCCGGAAGGGGAGTGGAGACAAGTGTAGCACTGGCACAGACGCCCAAGACCCTTAGTCCCCTCATTGGGAATGAGTCANTAAAGCCAGCAGCTATCTGAGGGCTTCCTGGGAGGCAGGCAGGGTGAATTGTCTCTTATCTTCACATAACACTCCAGCAAGTCAAGGCAGCCATTTGATGAAGAACACCAAGGCTTTGCTAGAAGTTATTTTCCCAGCGTCACACGGCAAGTGATTGGTGAGCAGTGGAGATGAGCCTCAAAACCTATTTTTTCCCCGCTGCACCAGGCCCCCACTCCATGTACAAACACATGCAGGTAGAGATAGCCATAAAGAAACACGTGAACCCACAATAAACAGACACACATGGATGCACAGATAGACCTAGCTATACCCTTCGAGAAAAACCTTGCCCACAAGGCCACCCATGTAGACACACCCATGCCTGCAAAGACACACATTAGCCCACATTACACACATCCTCACACACACATACACACCCGGCCATATCCATGCCCAGTACACACAGCTGACAATATAGCATTCATAAACACCACTGTGCAACTGCACACACACAGTCCAATGTGCTCACAATACACACACACAACACAGAAACCAGACTGCTGATGAAGACACACCCACAGAACCCACACAGGCCCACCCACCGGTGCGCGCGCGTGCGCGCACACACACACACACACACACACACACAATCACCATGCTGATAAAAATGCTCACTAAGGCCCGGCAGGCCCCACTTATCCCACACAGACTCACACACTAAGTTCCCACAGCCACGACCCTTAGCACACCACCCTCTCCTGGGTTCCCATCTCCCTGCCCTCCCGAGTGCCGCGTGTCCCTGAGTTGGTCCCCATTCTCAGTGGTCTCTGGTCTGTCCTCCCTCTTCTGCCTGCTGCCCCGGGGTCCTCCCTTTCTGGGGAGGCCCAAGGCCTGTTCCTAGTGGTGGGTAGAGAGAGGACAGCTGCTGACTCACCCTCCCAAGGCAGTTCCTTCCCTAGCTCCCCCGGCCCCCAGAAGCCAACCGTCCCACAGCACAGCCCGGTGACCCCTCACCCCAAGGCACCTGGTTGGGAGTGGAACCCCTCGTGGCTCCTGCTGTGGGCGTGGCCTGTGGGCCCTGGCCGGGGCCACAGCCAGGAAGGAGGCTGGGTGTTCCCGGAAGGGGAGTGGAGACAAGTGTAGCACTGGCACAGACGCCCAAGACCCTTAGTCCCCTCATTGGGAATGAGTCAGTCACTGTCACCCGTACTTGCTCCTGATGCAGGAGTACAGAATTGACGCCAACGCTGTCAGAGCTCTTGGCCTTGAGTAGCACAGCGAAGGAAACTGAGGCCTGGAGGGGGCAGGGACTTGTCCAAGGTCCCACTGGGCATGGGAGCAGAGGGGACTTCCTGAAAGTTAATGCTCCTGAAGGAGACAGGAAGCTAGAGGGAGGGAGGCTTCGGGAACCAGAGCTCCCCACCTCCCTCCCTCCTACCAACCCTCTTGATGCTGAGAAAGGACGTAAGCCTGCCAGGCATCATCCCTTCATTAATATGATATAACTTCCTGAGTTCCCTCTGGTCTGCTTGGTGACCAGAGAGCATAAGGGGGGACTGCATGGCCAGAAAGCCTGGGACCTGCACATACAAATGCCCTTAGAGCACGGCTATGTGTTCCTCAGGGAGCCCAGTGTGGCTGGAACTGGGGCATCCATCCTGCCGGAAGCTGGGGGTGCCAGCTGGGCATGGGTGATAGGGAGATGGGGAGAAGAGGCAAGGGGCCATGTGGTCATGGGGGCTGGGATGGAGAGGGCAAGGCTGCAGCTGCCCACAGTCTAGTGCCCGGGTCAGGACCATCTCCCCTGGCCTTGTATGTGAGACAACATCTGCACAGACTGTCTCCTTGTTACAAAGAGAGCTCTAGGATGGGCTGCTGGCCACAACTGGCTGCCAGGCCTGTGAAGCTGGTGTACAGTGAGAAAACTGTGGTACTCCAGCTTCCTGTCCTTGCCTGGGACCATCACACTCCAGAAAGTGGTTGAATTGGATCAAGAACCCAAGTCGATTAAATATGACATGATAACCCCAGTTCATAGTCTCTAGGCTTAAACTGCCTCCCTGAAAAACAAGGGGTATTTGAGAGGGTCTCCAAGGTCCCATCTGGGCTGGGAAGCTGCCTGGGAACCTTGAACTCAGTGAGAATGGGGCCGTGTCCACTGTGCTGGCAGCTGGGACATGTGGGCTGACCACACTGGCCCGAGGCTGGGGTGTGTTTGGGGAGGGTGGGAGAGACCCATGTGGCAGTGATGTTAGAGCCCTGGACGGCTGCTGTCTGTGGCCAAAATATTATTTCTGGAGGTCAAGGTCGCCTGGGGCCTGGGAGTGCTGGGGTGAGAAACAAGAGGGCGGCAGAGTGCTCCCCTCTGATGATGGGCCTTGGAAGTCCTCCAGGCCTGTCTCCTACAACTGGACACCAAATATGCCCCTCCTCTATGCTCCTTTCTCAGGGTTCTGAGTGTATGAGCCGAGAGCCCAGGGACAGGATCGAGGGACTGGAATTTTTTTCTCTGGCCAGGACGCCTCCTACCTCAGCCTTTTGGAAGAAGTGAATTGTGTCCAGGGACCAGAAATCGCCATAGTGTCTGGAAAACACTGCATCAGGGAGGAATTTCCTGGTCATTTCTCAATCCCTGGGTAATGTCTTAACCCTGGGGCCTGGAGCCCAGAATAGATCCCAGAGTCCACCCCGGAAGGCTCAGGCTGTGGCCACCCCCTTGAGGACTGGTCAGCTGCGCCCCTCAGGTCCTGTCCTGCCCCCCCACCTCCTCCCGAGTGATGATGACTCAGGGGTCCCCACGAGGGGATGGGGAGAAGGGCAGAGACCTATGCTTAGGGAGGTGGCAGGTGGCTCAGTGATGGGGCCTGGGTGGGGGGAGCAGAGGCAGGAGATGGATGCACTGAGCAGGGGGGCAG